TGTATGAGTATGCATGAAATATGCATGGGGGCGTCCTCGAGGGGAACGGCTTATTGAAGAACACTTGGTATTTTTCAAGAATGGTGGGCGTATTGGCGCACCTTGTACTTGGTACATTGAGTCATCCTCGCGGAGAGGAGGGGCCTTGGGCCGTAAATCACCCATGTTGGTGAATGATGAGGGCTTGGCCGCTCATACGTTCTCTTGGAAAAAGATGGGGCCTTTGGCCTGTGAGTCAACATTTTGGTAAGGGGATGAGGGCTTGGCCCTTAATCCATCCTCATAAGAAGAATGGGACCTTGGGAAAAATCCTAATAAAGGGAAAAAGAGTACACCTAGCGCCCCCAACATAAAACAAGGAAGGTAAGTCTCCTCTGGCGTAATCAATCTAGCTCAACTCCTCTTCAACCGACTCAGCTCTCGTTCCTGCTCATGCGTGATATTTTCTGCTCATCTAGAAACTCTGACCCCTCAGTCCCCCAGTCCCCACTCTTTGAGGCGAGTGGAGACGAGGTGAAAATGAGTAAAGTCATCTTTGTACCTACACATTTAACATACATATGATTTTTTTCTTGGGATTTATGTTCCCGATCGGGAGTTCGTCACTTGAAACAAGTGGAGATGTGAATTGTTAATGTAATGATAAAATACTTAGTAGAATGGATGTGCGAGCCATTCGTAAGCAACGGTTGCCACTCGAGGAATGACTAAGATCGGTCTTCGTGCCCGACTTGGTCGGGGATTTGTCTTCGTGCCCGACTTGGTCGGGGCTTTGTGCCTGATCTTGGTCAGGGCTTTAAATCCTAGTGATGGGTCTCAAGCCACACTCTACTAGGCATTTTGATCATAAGTGCGTGATAGTGTGACATTTAACCGAAAAAAAAATGATTTAAATAAATATAAATAATATGAAAATTAAAGAGTACTTATCATTTTGGATTGGGCTGGACTAATAGGCCCGTGTAAGATTGAATCCATGAATCCTTATTGGACAGCCCACCAATATTTTTGACCCATCTAATTGGAGCTGCCCTACCTGTCAAAGAGCCTAGCTGCCAGCTTTGGGAAGTGGGCAGAGCCTCCAACTCCGCATGCGGCCAAGATCTTACAGCGCACCGCAACTTTAAGAAACTGCTTGATGAGTGTAGAAAGCCCACTCCAACTCCAGAATGCAATTCAACTCATAACTACAACGTATATAGCAAACTTTTTGAAGACCTGCATTGACAACAAATCCCACACCGCAGACAAACTTCTCCATGGTCAGATCATGTCGTCCGACAGGCTTCTCTTCCGACACTTTTCTGGCAAACCACGTCACCGAGTGCTACTCCAAAATATCCAGCCAACAGTAGCTGCCGCTGGCCAGATGCGGTAGCACGACTTCATCAGGATGACTTGGCAAGACCAGATGGCCAAGATGTTATGCGCATGGAGTAGAATCGAGTTCCTGAACTAATTCAGATCTCCTTCAATTTGCTTAAGATCTGACCCCGGCCTTGATTGTACATGGAAATCGCAGATTCCTAGTGTGGAAATCGCTCCCAATTTTCGTCCGAAAGAAACGGATGGAATGAATGAATGACTTGATTGCCGAAATATGAAGAAGCCGGAAGCGAGAAATCGGCTGATTTGAAGCTAGAAACGGGTGAACTGTTTTGTTGTTTCCGGTGAGCAACCTGGGGAATTAAACGGTTATTTGGGGAGGGGTTTCTTACTTGATGTGTTCAAACCCTCAACGAGAGCACCATATGATGGATGGTGTACCCGGGGGTAGCTTATCCGAGGGGTTATTCGGGGAATAACCTAGAGAGAAGTCAGAGCAAGCAAGTAAGAGAGAGAGAGTCAAGTATATTAAATAAACTTGTTCTGGGATCCTTTACAAGAGGAATAAAGGGTGCTATTTATAGCAGCCATAAATGCGATGAGAGTACACGTGTCAACAGTCTAACGACCGAGGGGTCACCTCAATCGGGGTGGCACCGGCATTCGCATCGCATGTGCACCGCATTAAATGCGGTGGGTGGATGTGACGCTGCATTAAATGCGGTGGTTGCTTGTCTCCAAAGGGAATCTCCGATGATTGCGCTGTAGCTGAAGGCTCCCCCGTGGCCGAAGTCTTTGTGTAGCCGAAGGATACTCTTATGCCGAGGGCACGAAGATGCCGAAGGCTCCCAATTTCTGTCATTTTCTCCCAGTAGCTTTGTATGCTCAAATCTAGCTGTTATGTGGAATTTGGAGCCTTCGGCCATGGTGTCGAAGGCATCCCCAAGCGCACCGTGGGTTCCTTTGAGCTAGGGCCGCGGTGCTTTGGGCTTCATGCGCTTCTTGGGCCTGTGTAGGAGTAGTAGGAGTCTGTGGGCCGGGGGTCCCTGGGCCATATACTCCATCAGAAGGCTACATCAAAGGAGACAGAATGAAGCACATATCACCAAAATTCTTCTCTACTCATGACCTTGAGAAAGAAGGAACGATCAACATTCAACAAATCAGATCTAGTGAAAATCCAGCTGATCTTCTTCACCAAATCTTTACCCCCGAAGAAATTCATAGAACTTGTACAGAAAATCGGCATGCGCTGCCTTAATAATTTATGCTAAATTCAGGGGGAGTATTTGAATGCACTGCACTCTTTTTCCCTTCATCAGGTTTTTATCCCTCTGAGTTTTTCCTGATAAGGTTTTTAATGAGACAGTACATCCAAATACAACGACATTATATGTCGTAATCTTTACCCCTTAATTTTCACACTCGTTTTCACAATTAGTTTTTAAAATGCCAAATACCTATTCAAGGATGAACATTCAAAGGGGAGTGTTGTAAAATTATCAAAATGACATGTGTGATGTCCATCCTTGTAATCAGGACACTAATCCAATTCCAATCCTTGTAATAGGACAGATGTCTAGGTTTAATGTTGTCAGCAGAATGTGTAGAAATTCTCCTTGATGATTCATCACCAAGCCCAACTAGTATAAATAGGGCTTGATCAAACTCTTGTAAACTCATTCAGAAACTTAGAAATTTCAGAGATTAAGAAAAAGTTATTTAAGATTATTAATAATATATCTATCTCTTAAATCTGTTCAAGGCCGTCTTTTAGGAGGTGCAATAGGTGATTGGCACCGGGGCCCACTCTTGTAGGGGGCCTCCAAAAATTTAGAATGTAGTATTAGTATAAGTTTATTTTTATAGATGCTATGTATTATTCAAAATTCCAAAAGGTATATAACTTTTAGATTCTCTAATTTGTGTACTTTAAACATCATAAAACTTATATTTCATTGAATTGTCTATTTTTATTTGTACTTCATTGTTCAAATTTGTATTTTTCTTGTTTTAGAGGCCTCAATTTTCCATTTGGAACCGGGGCCTCCAAATTCATTAGACGGCCCTGAATCTGTTGTTCATAAAAACACCATAATTTTGTCCGACCTATAAGAACACCATAATTTTGGATTCCATAAAAATCAAAATTGATAACACATCTCAAATCCAGAGTGCCTATATGGTACAACCGGGTGTACGTACACCCGGCCCAACTAAGGAAGACAACCAAATAACTAATATGGGCCAAAAAAAATCAGTGGCATTCTTGTAATTTAAGTGAAAAGTCACGGCCTCCACTAAAATGAGCAATAGTGTACTTTTAGTGAGCATTTTACCTGTTGTATTGAGTATTAAGAGGCTAACAATGAGTATCATAATCTCTGCTTCATATTTTCTAATTTTTTTTTCTTTTTCTTATTTTTTCTTTTATAAAAATTTATTAAATTATATCTATAATTCACTCCTATTAATTTCAATATGTGAGTCTAATGTAATATCATACTTTTGAAATATGACATTTAAAAATGAACATAACATCAATACCAAATGAGCATACATAAATTGAAAAGTGCACATTGATATGAACACCATGACATTTTGAAAAGTGCACATTGATATGAACACCATAAATTGAAAAGTGCACATTGTAAAATTTGTTATTTGAACACCATGACATTTTAATTGAACATCAAACTTCCCCTATTGAGATGAAAATTGTGGTTTCTGTTGAGTGAGCATTAATATGACATTTTGAAAATGAGCATAACATGACTACCAATTGAGCATACATAACTTATAAAATGAGCATTGATATGAAATCATAATATTTTTAGTTAAGTATCAAGCCATTTTCATTGAGCATCAAACCTCATGTATTGAGTATTAAAAACATACAATTGAGTTTCATGATTTGCGCTCTTATATCTATAATCAACTCATATGTGAATCTAATGTAATGCGGAATATGATACTTTTGAAATATGCATTGATATAAAATTTTAAAATGAGCATAACATCAATATCAAATGAGCATACATAACTTACGAAATGAGTAATGGAAAATGTACAATGAGCATTGCATCAATATGCATGAATATGACATTTTAAAATGAGCATTATATCAATATGAAATGAGTATACATAACTTACGAAGTGAGTATCGTAAAATTCAAAAAGCTCTATTAAAATTTCCTAAAATTTAAAGTCTGTTCAAATATTAATATTAATTTGTGCATGTTCTTCACTCAAATATTAAGATCCTGGCTTAGTTGAACTCTTAAATATAAGTATGTGGATGATGGATCAGAGGTAGCACTTTGTGGTTGAAAACATTCGGCCAGATTGCAGAGTATATAAAAAAAAAGTAAAAGCAAGAAGAAAAGAAAAGACAAAAGGAAAAACGTGAAAACAGAAACAAAACAGAACAGCAGAAGAAACGTAAATCGGAAAAGCAAAGAAACGGAAAAAAAAAAAAAAGAGTAAACCAACGAGCATGCGACCACCGTTTTCATGTGATGGCCGAAGGAATCAGCACAGCTCAAACACGAATGATGGGACCTTGCCACCTGAGAGAAGTTGATAACAATTGCAAAAATACCCGGTTGTACGGTGAGGACCGTACAACCGGGTGTACGGTATATTTTACCTCAAATCCATATCGGGACACCCCTGTGTTTGATCTATTCTAAAATGTCCTGTCCTGGATTAAAACATTCAATTCAATGTGGCCAACCGTGACTGGATCCGGCCACCGAATTTAATCAAAGCTGAGCGTTACTAGCACAACCTTGATAAAAGCTGAATTCCGGGAAGTTAAAGGACATACAATGTTAGTTGATCCCTCTGATCTCAGATCGGCCTCCCGAATTTGTGAAATGATTCTGGGAACTGGGATTGTAAGAAGGCCCCTAATAAGACCACTAAACAGTTTCTTCGTCGGAACCCTCACCACCTCCGGCATATGTGGCCTTGCCACTGCTAACCAACTCGACTCTGAAGGGCCATCATCGTCGTTCGAGTTCACGGGAAATGTTCAAAACACGTCTAGCAGAGAAGACAATAATAATATCCATATAAGTGGGCGGAAGAATTCTTATTTGCAATCGGGCTCAACTTCAGTGACGATGCCTATGTCGTTCATGACGGGATCAATTGTGGGCAAGAGGTTTTACAAGAAGGTGATCACACGCGAGGCCGATGATGGTATTGGTTGGACGGTTTTCCTTGACTATCGCACCCTCAAAACCCCCTCCAAACGCCCTCTCAAGTGCCCCACTCTTGCTCTGGCCAAAGCTATTGCCGCTGAATGGGAATACCAGGTATTTTTTTCTTCAAGTTTTATGGTTATACTTCGTATAGAAAGTAGTCGCACTCCACTACTGCCTCCATCTTTAATTGAACATATAACCAAATTTATGTTCAATCCCCGAAAAGAGCCTCATTTGAACAAAAGAAGCTAATTTTTATTATGTCCCAATGTAGCTCTTTCTAAAAGAAAATGTCCAGAACAATTTAAATATGATAGATTTTGCTAATGTCTTCTTATCATATTGTTAGCTTGCTATTCAAATAAGTGATGCGTTGTATTACGACAATTTTTCTTTGCTTAAGTACTGCCAATATGTTTTCTGAGCCTGTTGTGGTAGGAAGCAGATGGAATCAGACCTTTTACAATGCCACTGATGAGACTTGCTTGTACCGCATTCGAAAGAGTCCCACTAACCAGATCCACGATTATTGAAAACTTGATGAAAAAATTTAATCAAGATTTAGTGTTCTGTCGTGCACCAGGGGATGATGATTTCACAGCTTCTATTCATGGTACGTTTATCTTGGAATATTTTCTGTTGATTTTTTGTTATGTTGTATGCTTCTATATTTGTCGGTTGATGTTTGTCTCCAAACTCATTCCTTATTGTAATATTTACAGAATTTATGATATTATTATTATGATTATTTTAACTGTTTTCATGTTTCAAACCTTGCACTTGCTTATACGTGGTATTTTTTTATTGAACTATTATGATTGATAGCCTTATACTAGACCTATAACCGAACATGGGAAAATAATATGTACAGAGAGAAAGTGTTCGTAAATGGTAAAATTATAGAATGTAGTTAATAAATAAATCATTGTGTTAGTGGTATCATGGTTACTAGTTTCCTATTCTTATTAGGTCCATTTCTATTCTTAATGAGATTATGCCCATTACCCCTTTGCAATGTAGTCAAAGTCGCGAGGCGCACTTAAGGCGCTAGAGTATTCATATTGCCTAACGTGCAAGGCGCAAAAAAACACTCGCTTGACTCATGTCAAGAGCATTATTCAGAAAATATTCTGTATACTATTCTGAATGACCAAATATGACATAATCAACATCATATTGAACTAAATGCATTAAAAAGTCATGTTTCTAAAAAAAAATAAAGTCACTATTCACCAAAATATAAAGTCATGTTTCACAAAAACAAAACACCAAGTGGGGTCTATTTTTGCTGATTTTGCATTTTAGGACCAGGGGCAACACTTGAAGTTCCACATTTTCATATCCTATAAACAATGTGAATACGAAATGATAAGAGTACTTAACTACATGTAATAGTAGAAGGCATACATTATATAGTGTATTTGTGTATGAAAGTATTAAATGAGTTAGGCTATATGAAGTTTTTATACAATTAAAATATGAACTGATAATAAGAAGATATAGAGTTGTGTAGAATATATAAGAAGAAGAAGAAGAAGAAGAAGAAGAAGAGAACTATAAGGAAGTGTAGACTGGTAGAAGAAAATTAACATCAATGAAGTGATACAAGTAAAGAAAGAAGATAGACTGAGAATAATATTAAAAGATCAACGAGAAGATGACAAAATAAATGAAAACTACAAGCTGAAAACAGAAGGAACATGGGAAGAAGAAGAAGAAGACACACCTTATGAGCTTCTGGTTTCTATGGGTTGATTGTTGAATGTGGTTTCAGCGCTGAGCAGGTTGCCTGATTAGAGCACAGAGCATAAGAGAGTCACGATGAAGTCACAATAGAAGACTTTTATTGCGACATAGAAGAGTTTTATATGGGTTTAAGTTGTTTTGACCTTTTATTTGGACGGCTAAATCTTATTATAAATATGCCCATATGATAAGAACGGAAAATAACAATCAACGGTAGCAACCATTGCCAAAGCTTAAAGCTTAAACACACCAATTTTATTAATAATAAAGCATAATTTGAATAACCCTCTTAGGGGTATAAATAGACTACTCCTAATTAATGAAAGATTCCTAAAACTCATACTAGGAAATAAACTTAAACTAGGAAACATAACTCATACTAGGAAACATATTAAAAGCCAATAATTAATAAAATAAGTAGCTAATTAAATCCTTAATTAAATCAGCCCGTCAGCCACGAAGGTGGGCCCCATCCCGTCCGCGCCTTCTGTAAACAATCCAGAGTCTGGGCCCTGTTCTCCTTCGTTCGCACCTCCTTGCCGATCCGCAGGGTCAATCGGCTCCATATCAACTTCATCCTCCTTTGAAAGAACCTTGTCCTCAAGGTTGAAATTTGGAAACTGGCCCCAAAAACTTGCTTTATCCATCCATGTAGCATCGTCAGTTGGCTGCCCTGGCCATTTGACTAGTAGCTCTTCTTCCTGGTCATTTTTCTTCCTTGTCGCAAGGATCTCTTCCGGCTCGAATATGGGACCCACTAGTAACTCTAAACTTTCTGGTGATGTACTCTCTACCGGGTGATCTCCAATTACTTTCCGTAGCTGAGAAACATGAAAAACTGGATGAATGCGGCTGGTGGAGGGTAGTGCAAGGGGATAAGATGTCGGTCCGATGCGTGCTTCAATAAAAAAGGGTCCATAAAACTTGGCCGAGAGCTTATTATATGGCTGGCGGAAAAGAGTAGTTTGACGGTGCGGTCTAACCTTCAAGAACACCTTGTCCCCTATCTGGAAAGTCACATCTCGGCGGTGCTTATTGGCCTGAGTTACCATGAGTTGTTGTGCCACTTGTAAACTCTCTTTCAGACGCCTCAACATGATATCTCGACTTCCCAACATATCCTCCACTGCTGCCACCGTGCTTTCTCCTGGTAGAAATCGTCGAATCGTGGGAGGTGGCCGGCCGTAAACCACTTCAAACGGTGAGATTCCCGCTGCTGTTTGAAACGCGGTGTTATACGAATATTCGGCCCAAGATAGCCAACATAACCACTGCCGCGGCTGCTCGCACGTGAAGCAACGCAAATATGTTTCTAATACCCGATTCAATACTTCCGTTTGTCCATCTGTCTCCGGGTGGTAAGCTGAGCTAAACTTCAATTGTGTACCAGACAAGGCAAAAAGCTCTTTCCAAAAGGCACTTATAAATAATGAGTCCCGATCACTTACAATTGAGCGTGGAATGCCATGTAACCTGACTATCTCCCTGGCAAATGCTTCAGCCACCAAATGTGCCGTGATCAGAGCTTTTAGGGCAACGAAATGCCCATATTTGGAAAGACGGTCCACCACCACCAGAATGGTTGGGTAAGCAAGTGATGAAGTCCATGGAAATGTCTTCCCAAACTAGGCTGAGAATCGGTAGTGGCTGTAGCAGTCCAGCCGGGGATGTGGTATTGTATTTAGCCTTTTGACAGACCAAACACTGAGCAACATAAGCTCGTACCCGACGGAACATTCCTCTCCACATTACGTTCATTGCAGTCTGCGGTATGTCCGATATGCACCAGCGTGGCCACCTGCCGGCGTGTCATGAAACTCCTCCAGTAGGCAAGGAATCCATTTAGAATCGGAAGCTAAGACCAACCGGCTTTTGAAGATCAGCCGCCTTCCCACTATTTCATAGCCCGGTACGCAATTCGGATCACTTTCCAATGCTTGCATAATCTCTTGTAAGAAGCATGGTTGTCACGGCGTCGACTAGGCGTCGCCTAGGCGCCGACTAGGCGTCCTGGCGATGGAGAAGGGTCGACATGGGAGATCGACTCGCCAGAAGAAGATAAGTCGCTCCTGGCGTCGTCCAGGCGTCGACATGTCGTCCAGGCGCAGTCTAGGCGCACGCCAGGGGAAATTAAAATCTCAAATTCTCAATAAATTCGAGTTTAGAAGCCCAGCCCAAAGTATGATTTAGAAAGTAGAAATTTAGGAATTGAAGCCTTCTGAGAGTCTGAAACCCGAAGGACAATCATCGACTCTCAAAACTTGAAGGCCAATCAACGATTCCCAAACACAGACGCTACTTCTCTTATGTGTGCCTCTGTCGCAAGGTTGAAGACGACCTGCAGTTGCTGCTTTATCCTGCGTCGCAAGGTTGAAGACAACCTGCGATCCTAAGTCGCAAGGTTGAAGACGACCTTCGCTTCTTCTCCAGCCTTTTATTTTAGCGGCTCTTCACTTATCACTTTATGTCTATATACTTCTTATTCTACTCCGTAGTATATTAGTGCTCCGTATGTTTTATATGCAATTAAGCACTAAGTAGTATACCCACTAAAGTAGTTTAATTAATTAAGTTGTACACATAGTCGAATGATTTTTTTATATATACATGCATACATAAACCTATTTTCCATTTATTAAATGTTGGTTTCAATTCTAGGTAATATACAATTTAATTAGTAATATATCATACGTAGTATATAATATATAATAAATTGCAAATTAAATACATTCAAATATATATATATATATATATATTAATATATATGAAATATAATATATTATATAATGTGTGACTCAAATATATATATATATATATATATATTAATATATATGAAATATAATATATTATATAATGTGTGACTGGTCGCCTAATTGTCGCCTAGGCGGGCGCCTTGTCGCCTAGGCGATATGGCGGTCGGCTGGCGCCGCGACTCGCCTTACCGCCGTGACAAGTATGGTAAGAAGGTATCTTTCCTTTGCTCCTCTTCTACGTCGGCTATTCCCAGCAACTCTAGTATGCTAACCGCTGCCAACTCTACTTCCTCCCCTTTCCTAGATAAAGCATCTGCAGCCGCATTCGAAATTCCCGTCTTGTACTCAATCTCAAAGTCATATCCAAGCAGCTTGGCCACCCAAACCTGTTGGGAAAGAGTTGCTATGCGTTGTGTGTCGATGCTTAAGACTTCGATGATCTGTGCGTACGATGAATTTTCTCCCGATCAAATGCGGCCTCCAATGTTGCACTGCTAAGGCTAACCCCATCATCTCCCGCTCGTAGGCTGATTTAGTTAGCATTCTATCAACTAATGATTTACTAAAATAAGCAATGGGCCTCCGTTCTTGCATAAATACTGCCCCAATCCCGGTCCCCGATGCATCACACTCTATCACAAATAAACGGTCAAATTGGGGCATGGCTAGCACCGGTGCTTCGGTTAATGCCTTTTGGAGTCGGCGGAAAGCTTTCTCGGCCTCTTCACACTGGAAACGAGTCAAGGCCTCCTTCTTTAAAAGACTCGTGAGTGGTCGTGCAATCAATCCATATTCTTTCACGAACCTTCGTTAGTAACCAGTCAACCCCAGAAATCCCCGAACCTCTCGGGCAGTCTTCGGCCAAGGCCATCCTGCCACTGCACTGACTTTGGCTGGATCCATAGCTACCCCTGCTTGAGAGATGGTGTGCCCTAGGTACTCCACCTGGGGCTGGCCGAAAGTACACTTCTTCTTATTAGCTCTGAATTGATTCATCTTTAAGATACTCAGCACCCGACCCAACTGCTCTCGGTGTTCGGCCCACGACTTGCTGTACACCAAGATATCAAAAACAAAATACCAATATGAATTTTCGTAAGTATGGTCGGAACAAATCATTCATGACAGCTAGAAAAGTGGCCGGTGCTTTAGTCAATCCGAATGGCATCACCAGAAATTCATAATGCTCGTTGTGAGTACGAAAAATGGTCTTTTGGATGTCCGGTTCAGCCACCCTGATCTGATGATACCCGGAACGTAAGTCAATTTTAGAGAAAACTACAGCTTCGGCCATCTCGTCCAACATCTCTTGTATTACCGGAATGGGGTACTTATCTGGTACGGTTGACTTATTCAGCTCCCTATAATCCACGCAAAATCGCTAGCTGCCATCTTTCTTTTTGACTAACAACACTGGACTGGAGAATGGGCTGGAACTGGGTTGAATGATGTCGGCCTGAAGCATCTCATCGACCAATATCTCGATTTCATCCTTTTGTAAATGACCGTACTGATATGGCCGAACCAAAACTGGGTTTGCCCCGGAAGCTAGCTCGATGCGGTGATCCCTAGTACGACGTGGTGGCGGCCCTTGTAGTTCTGTGAATACTTCTGCATGCTGGCTGAGAATATCTTTTAGTGATTCCGATGTTGCCCCCACCATCTTGCCAGTCTCCCTGACAAGGACGACTGCACTAAACTCCCCATCAGCCGTTTTCAGGAGTCCGTAGACTGACCGCATTCTTGCACATTGAGGGATCCCCTTTTAACTCCACTCGCTTGCTGTTAAGTTTGAACTGCATGGTTAAATCCTTCCAATTTGTCTGCACTCCCCCCAACGTTGCTAACCAGGTAACCCCCAGTATGAGGTCCACTCCAGCCAACGAAAAGACAAAGCATTCGGTCTTGATCGCACATCCTGGCAAGTTTATGGAAAGTTGACGGCATACTCCTTCAGATTCTTGCCTATGTCCATTCCCTAACTGTACTCCGAATCTTCCCGTCTTGTCCGGGGTGAGGTGTAGCAAAGAAACCAAGGATGACGATACGAAATTATGACTAGCTCCACTATCAATTTACACCGTGATTTTGCAGCCTCTGATGATACCGCGAAGCCTCGTCGTTTGGGGCCTAAAGAATCCAGCCATCGCATAGACCGGAAAGTCACTGTTATCGCCTTTAGGAGGGTCGTCATATAGTGGAGGCTCTTCCTGCCCCGTTATTTTGCAATAATCGTGTTGCTGCAAGTCTAGCTCTTCGTCTTCCTCGGCAAACATCACCCTTAATTGTTTAAAGGGGCAATCGTGTCCCGGAGTGAAAGACTTTTGGCATTTAAAACATAGTCCCTTGGCACGCAATTCATCTAACACCCTTGTAGGTAACCTGGTAAATCGAGAACGCTCTGTGGGATGCCCGGAAGAACCGGTAGGGGTCACTGCCGCGCGTGACGTGGGCCCTACCGACTGTCCAGTTGCCTTTGGCATGCTGCCACCGGAGATACGCGTGTTGCTGCTGCCCGTACCCGAAAAGGACCCCGGGTTTGGCCGTGGGTAACTGCTGGGGCGTGATCCGGAAAAATTATAATTCGATCCTCCTTTTCCACCACTCTGAATTAACAGTTTGTGTTCCACTCCGTGGGCCAACTCCATAGCCGTTTCCAGACAATCCGGACGAAGTAAACGCAGCGAGCATTTTATTGTTTCCTTAAGTCCGTTCATATAATATCCCATATAGTGATCGTCGGTCAATCCAGGGACTTGGCTTGCTAACTAGACAAAAGAATATTGGTAATTCTCCACAGTTTCATCCTGCTTGACTCTGGACAGACGTTCAAACCGGTTTCCCTGGTATCGGGAATCAAATCTGGTAACCAGGGCTTGTTTGAAATCTTCTCGGCTTATACCGGGTTTGCGTGATCTCAACCATGTTACCCAGTAAAGCGCTCCACCTTCCATGGCTACCATAGCGGCAGCCACCTTCTTTTCCGGTGGGGTTTCTTGTAATTCGAATTGTTGCTCTACCTGGGCTATCCACCTGATCGGATCTCCCCCATCGAACGCCGGTAGTAGCGTCGGAGTGGGATTGCGCAGTCCTCTGTCCACAAGCGGCACCGTCATCGTGGTACTGCCGACTTCCACTGTGGTGGCGTTCGGCGATCCAGGCGGTACCAGCGCCTTCGTCAATGCGGCTAGCGAAGCAACAATCTCTTCCAGCTTTGCACCGTGGTCTTCGAGCGTTTGGTTCATCCAGGTCTGCTCAGCCCCAAGTCGGGCCACTTCCTCTCCCGTGCGACCTTGTTCGTTCTCCAATTCTTGCAATCGTTCACTCTGAGATCTCGTCATTGTGGCGGGACGGGATCCGGCAGGTCGGACCAAATTGATAAGAACGGAAAATAACAATCAACGGTAGCAACCGTTGCCAAAGCTTAAAGCTTAAACACACCAATTTTATTAATAATAAAGCATAGTTTGAATAACCCTCTTAGGGGTATAAATAGACTACTTCTCCTAATTAATGAAAGATTCCTAAAACTCATACTAGGAAATAAACTTAAACTAGGAAACATAACTCATACTAGGAAACATATTAAAAGCCAATAATTAATAAAATAAGTAGCTAATTAAATCCTTAATTAAATCAGCCCGTCAGCCCACGAAGGTGGGCCCCATCCCGTCCGCGCCTTCTGTAAACAATCCAGGGCCTGGGGCCCTGTTCTCCTTCGTTCGCACCTCCTTCCCGATCCGCGGGGTCGATCGGCTCCATATCACCATATTATTTAAAATAGGCTCAAACAGAAACATGGGCTGATGAGCCTTTCCCAGCCCAGGTGACTTAAGCGTGCGCTTTTCAATGTTTCAGCGCTTATTTTGCCTGTCTCGGTGGCTCGGTGCCTCACTCGGTTGGCTGGGCCTGGCACCCTAACAATTGCTGACCCTCATATCCGCCTTGCCTGGTGCGCTTAAGCGCCCAGGTGCGTGCTTTTGACTACACTGCCCCTTTTTATAATCCCGTTGTAGTTGTGTTTAGATATTATGAAGTTGCAAGTTCAAAACATGAAACTCATATAAAAGTAGTATAGATATAGTAAAAATTTACGTACTTGTGACAAAAATGTACAGAGCATCAAGTGGAGAAATTTGACCCTCTTCTTAGGTGGTTGGAGGTGGAGTTCGGATTCAAACCGGTTATATATTCATCTATTTTTGGTGGAAAGCAGAGGGATGGTCTTGTTAATGCCATTGCAGACTCTCTAAGAAAAATGAATGATTGCGAATTGGCAGCCATTGATGCAATTGCTGCATCTGCACACTCTCTTGTCATTGCCATTGCTATGTTTCATGGTAGATTGGGAATCAAGGAGGCCATTGAACTGATAAGGCTTGAGGAAGATTTGCAGGTCTGAAAATATTTGCATCTGTCATCTCTATATCTTTGGACCCTCCTCCCTCCTGGATCTCAAAATGATAGACATTTTAGAAGATTGTATAAATATTAAGGATCTCTACAAAATGATTGCCATTCTTATTTGTCTTTTTAGCATTGATGAATGCATTTCATTTTTTTTTCAAATTACAAAAGCTTTTAACACTATTAATGGTTAATATGGGTAAATGGAAAATATTAGGGTGCATTGAATTCCTATGACGGCAATTACTTTGGTAGTGGAATTCAATACTTTGGAGTATTGAATTCCATCTGTGCTGGAAAATAAGTTGATCGCAAAAACATTTTCCATGGAAATTAAGTTGTATGTGACATATGTGCACACACATGTAACAAAAAGAGAAGAACTCAGTCCACTTCCTATCTTCAGAGAAAAGAAAACAACCAACAAAAATATTTCCTTCCCTCGAAGGCTCGAACACTGGAATATCTAGCAATCATTTTTTAGGGGAAATATTGCATGACAATCATACGGAGAAGCAAAAGAATGTTTTTGCATTTTGTATTTCCACCTCATTTAAGTAATAAACTGAAGGGACTGATTGCATGCACAGATTGACAGATGGGGACTGGTTGAAGGCGGGCACGATGTTGATATCGCCGATCTGCAAGTGCAGGTTGCTTCTGCTGCTGTATTTCTTGGCCTCACGAGGAGCTTTTAGATTTATCTTCAAGTTTTGTTGTTTCACTGTAATAGTTTGGTTGGAGCTTTTGATTATTGAAGATATAATAATAGTACGCAACCCCGTTTTGTTTTTAAGCATATTTTACTGCCTGCATAGCTGATAGCTCTATACTTCTAGCCTTTTGGTCCTTGGTTGCATCTTTTAGATCTGCAAACTGAAAACCCATTTGGGAACTTGCTGTTGCCAAGATGAAATTTCCTTGTTAATGTTTCTTTTCCATTTTGATGTGATTAAAAGTGTTGGAAAATGGTTTACAAATTAATATTTTAGTCACTTTGGAGCTCAAATACACTATCGTATAAAGAACATACATCTCATTTCTAATCGGACAAAATGATAACATATTGTACTCCAGAAATTCAACATTTCCATATATTATTTGTAGAAAATCATTTCGAAATGAATGAGAAGTGTTCTCCGAAGTTTCTCTGAAACAAGGTTTGTCTAGGGTATTTTCCACACCGGAAACAAATTTGAATGTGGTTATAAGTCAAAAATTGATATGGGATTGAACCTCAAGGGACAATCAAATTTGTGAGGGAACCTTAAGATAGTATATTTTTTGTACATCGTTTTTTTATATAAAACTTTAAAGAAGATTTGTCCCCTTTTAATAGACACTTTTTGAATTAGTCTCGTTTCTTGATCAATTCACTTCAAATATTTAAATGGTGCTTGCATTTTTCGATAGTGAAAATCTGGAAAAAAAAAACAAGCTTTTTTTTGTACAAAAAAAGCTATTTTTTTATCTTCTTCACTCAAACTCCACCATTTTTAGGCATCGTTTGGTTTGCTTGAATCCTTCAGGAATAAAAATCCGTTCTATACACAGAGAAAATTGTCAATCCTCTTCAAATCAGTAGCTTACTACTCTTCATTAATCAATTATTATTTATTTTATTATTTTGCAAGATTTTTCAAGATGTGCAAACACCAATCTTGTGACAAATCTTACATATACTCTCAACTTTGCCAACGTTGACCGGTACGTAGAATAATAAAATAAAAGGAAAATCGCACTTTTAGTCACTAGAATAGTCACTATATTGAAATGTTAGACCCGTATTTTCGAGATGATAAATGTCACCCCCCCCAATTATCCAAATTAATTTACAGCAATTTGTATAATTGAGGATGACATTTACAAAACTCGAAAATACGGGTCTAACATTTCAATATGATGACTATTTCAAGGACGACTAAACGTGCGATTTTCCCTAAAATAAAAATTTTGTGGTTGAGTTTTGTGCATAAAAGAGAAAATTGACAAGAATCACAAATTTTTTATTTAAAAGAAAATGTGGCAAAGTTAGTGGGATAACAAAAACATATAAGAAATACTACGTATATGTTTTGTGTATGGTAGTTTGTATAATTTTGAAGGAACATATTGTGTTCCTTGCAGTCATACTGCAATTTTATTTTGTGAATCTGCAAGTTTTATGTTCATATCTTTTTACTTTGGCGCTTCATGCCCGCATGTCATTCTTTTGGCATCAAGTTGTTTTCATAGTTGCATGATATTAACAAATCTACATGTTATAGTTTGAATAAATTTTATTATAATTAAATTTTATGTTGCTTTGATCGTACATGTGTTGCATAATTATCTTGAATATTCATTTGGCGAAATTGACACCAATAATCCATACTTCCCCAAATTTCACAAAAATATCCCTACTTGAAAAGTTCATAACAATAATCCCAACTTCTTAATTGTTCGACAACAATATATCGAGTGCTAACGGTGTTAAGTTTTTCGTAATTTTTTTTAAATATATTGAAGCGCAAATATATATAAACATTGACTATATCATATTTAAGTTTTTCTTGACTCATATTATATTTAAGTTTAATTATCTTGTTTCTACTAAAATTTTGATTTCATATTGAATATTTTTCATAAGACATAATTGAAATATTTGAACAATACATAGTACATACTCTTCAAATTCTCTATTCTCTTTTATTACTTATCCTTATTTTATTTATATTCATTTTTGTTATCCATAGAGATTTCAAAGTAGTTTTAGTAATATTACATTAAATATTAATTCAAAATAGGTAGAATATTGAATATTTAATACATATATTTCTATTATATTTTATAAAAAATATTAAATATATTAAATTAAATTTATCGTAGAAAAAGATTAAACTCAAATATAATATTATTAATTTTTATACATATTTTTGCTTTGATATATTAAAATTAAAAAAAAAACAAAGGAAAAGTTAACACCGTTAGCACTCAGATTATTTTTGTGAAATAGTTAACTAGTAGGGATTATTTTTGTGAAATTTATCAGTAGGGATTATTTTTGTAAATAATGTGTAAAAGTACGGATTATTGGTGTCAATTTCGCCTATTCATTTATTATAGTTTCTGTCTAATTTTCATTAACTGCTTTTACCTTATGCTTGCATAAACATTTTTTTTTCATAATAGGAATTTATACCTATTTATCAGTTTTATCCGTTTATTGAAATTGCTGCCATCTATTTGTCAATTGTGCCATCTCGAGTATACTTTGTGTACAATTTATAGTCTAATCAATCATTGATTCATAGTGTTTTGTGTGAACAAAATGGATAATCAAACGAACGTTACCATTCCTAAAGCTTTACTGCTCACCTCAGTTCGCACTCACATTCCCATGGAGAGAAACTTCGTAAATTCAATGGTCATGCTTTAACGCTGACGACAAAAGATGTGTTCTATTTGATCAATTTGAATTTGTCTAAATGCCTCTTTGGGAGCCAACCTTCGTAAGAGGAAAAAGAAAGGGGTAAGGAAAATGTGGCAGCAGTGGATACTTGTAAGTACTTTAATTTCTTGTGTACAAACTACATCTTGAATGGACTTGATGACTCCCTCTATTGTGTATATGCTGATGTGAAAGTGGAAAAAGAAATTCGGGAATAACTTGAGAAAAAATACGAAATCAAGAATGCTGGCAAGAAGAAATTCATTGTTGGTCATTTTCTAGATTTTATTATGCTTGATAACAAATATGTTGTTTATCAAATTGAAGAAATTCAACTTATACTACATGAATTTCACGTTGAATGTATGTCCCTTAGCGAGTTTTTTCATGTTGCGGCGCTAATTGAAAAGTTTCCTTCCAAGTGGAAAGACTTCAAGAATTACTTGAAGCATGTGCATGAAAAGGATAACCACAAGTCCGAGCAAAATGCCGAAAGATCATATGCAAAAGGTCAAAGAAATTCAATGGGAAGTGCTACGATTGTGGCAAGCTTGATCGCTGTGCGAAAGACTATACAAGTCAACATGGTGGACAACCTTTCTGACGATATGGGTGAGATAAACCTTTGTGACGTGATGTCTCAATGCAATTTAAATTGAAAACATCAAGGAGTTGTGCATTGATACGAGAGCTACCTTCCACATTTGTGCCAAAAAATGGATGTTACCGACTATCAAACATGTGATGACGAGGAACAACTATATATTTATGGGCAACTCATCCACATCCAAAGCGGAAGGTCAAGGCAAGGTTGTGCTAAAGATGGCAAATGGAAAAACCCTAACCTTGAATAATGATGTGCTCCGTGTTCTCGACATACGAAAAAACTTGATTTTGGGCTCCCTCCTATGCAAGAATGGCTTCAAGTTAGTCTTTGTATCCGATAAATTTGTATAGACTAAAAATGATATAATTGTTGGAAAGGGATATCTTAGTGATGAACTCTTCAACATTAATGTCTTGACTATTGTGCCAAATAAAGTTGATAATAATAATGTTGCTTCTTCTTATTGGAATGAGTCATCTACTATTTGGCATGCAATATTAGGACTTGCTAATTATGATACATTATATTGTATAGACTAAATGTCCTATTGATCATAATCATAAGTGTGAAGTTTGTATGTAAATCTAAATGGATAGAAAACCTTTCAATTTATCACAAGAGACACTGAACCGCTAGATCCCATACATGTGGAATCTATGTGATCTCAAGTATGAAGAAACTAGAGGTGTGGCAAGGCATTTCATTAGCTTCATCGTTGATAGCATTAAATCATGCTATCTGTATTTGCTAAGCATTATAAAGCTAAAGTTGAAAATCAACTTGAGAAAAGAATGAAGGCATTGAGGAGTGATAAAGACGGCAAATATGGATATCCTTTTGAGTCAATTTGTTTGTAAAGTGGAACTATTCATCAAAGAATTTCTCCTTACACACCCCAATCCAACGATGTAGTCAAAAGGAAGAATAAGAATGTAAATGACATGTTTAGGGTCATCTTAGTAAGTTCTCGTGCACTGATCGACTTGTTAGATGATGCTATCCTAGCTGCAAATTACATTCTAACTAAAATTCCTTGCAAGAAAACTCGCAAAATTCCATATGACTTATGCAAGGGGTATAAAACCAAGTTTTAATTACTTGAAAGTATAAGGATGTCTGGCTAAAATAGTTATTCTCAAACCTAAAAAATAAAATTTGGACCAAAAAATATTGATTGTGTCTTTGTAGATTATGAACAAAATAGTAGTGCATGTTGATTCCTCTTTCATGAATCTCATAATATAGACGACATCGTCAATAGCATTATAGAATCAAGAGATGTTATATTATTTGAGAATGTGTTCCCTTTCAAGGGAGATTGTGAGGTTATATCATCTGACGTGGATATATACATTATATTTCACCAATATTGATGAACCAAGCACACACAAGAGAACACTTGATTCGATAAATGCTAATGATGCAGCAGCAAAAGAAACCTGGAAATCCTAGGATTTTAGGCCCGATTTTGTTGTGTACCTATTGGATGATGAGCCTCAATTTTATTAGGAAGTCATGTCTTCGTAGGCACTTAACAATGGCAAGAGGCCACCAAAAGTGAATTGATTCCATCATGTCTGGAAACATATGAAAAGTGGTAGATTTGTCTCGTGGATCTAAACCTTTAGGATGCAAATGAAACCTCAAACGAAGAGAAGAAATAATGGAACAATTGAGAAGTACCAAGATCGTTTGGTTGTCAAAGGATACACCCAAAAGGGGGAGTTTAACTACTTCGATATATATTCACTAGTTACAAGAAAAAATTCAATTCAAATTAATGTTGTTAACAATAGTTGAATTGAAGGGTTTGGAAATCCATCAAATGGATGTAAACACTACATTCTTGATTAGTCATATAAAGGAAGAGCTTTACATGCAAAAATATGAAGGTTTCATTATCGCAGGACAAGAAAGATAGGTTTGTCAGTTAGTAAATCTCTTTGTGAGTTAAAACAATCCCTAAGCAAT